TTGGTATAACATAAACAAAAAGTAGTTTAATAAAATTTTGAATGTAAGACACTAAAACCTTGTGTTATGCATAGTAAAGGCTACCAGGTGCAATAGGATTAAACAAGTAAGTCATCTATCCAGAATCAAGGAACAATGAGAAAGTGACTCAGAGATGATAAGTCAATGACAATGTGCCCAACCCTCAACTTCATGTTAATTCTGATATTAAAAGTAGTGTATGCAACAAGTGGTAAGCCAAAGAACTAGAGCAGGCCTGTGATGATAAGTGAAACTTACAGGAATGACATGTAATATGCTTTATTTGCTATTATTATCAGGTTACATTTGTGGGGTATTGTTATTTAATCTTTATACTTTGTTAAACCACTTCTTTCAACACTTATTTTCAAGAGAATGACAGTGATCAATTAAATTTCTGATTTACTTATACCAAACTATGAAAATATACTACATTTTTTGGCCTTTGTTTTACATTTTATCCTCATGATGTATTAAAACTATCCTTGTATGGTTTGATGTTGAAGCTACAGTATTCTCTCTTAATGTAACACTGGGAACCTTTTTGGTATATTCATTCATCACAAGTATATTCAAAAATTAAATCAATCTACCTTCAACACGGGCTTCATCTGGTGTAATTGTTGCACACTTGATACCAACACTATGCTCTTTTATTGCATTAGCAGCATCAATAGTTACTTGGTCATCAGTGGCATCTCGGTAAGGGAGTCCAAGATCGAAGTATAAGCAGTTTAGTTTCAAGTATGGAAATATAAGCTGAAAGTAAACAAATGTGTCTTGTTATTGATATAAGGTACAATAGTTCAAAAAATTAAAAGAAAAACCCATAAAAAGCCTAAAAATAATAATTCAAACACCTAAAATTTTGTTTATTATGTAATTTTCTAGGAAGTGGATCAACGATAAAAAAGCTTACAATTTTAACATCTTTTTAACAGATATATCATAATAGAAAAAACCTAAAAACCTGAATGCTTTTTTTAAATGTAGAGTTGAATTTAAAGAAGGAAGGTCTGCCTCATGAAAACATTTGGATTAACTGATCTCTTAGATCCTAGTAAGTAATGCTCAGACAGTTTATTTTATACAAATGCTATTAGAAATTGTTGTAATTTTGATTCTGATAAATCGTAGTTTTTCTTTGGTTTGTTTTTAAGTGACTAATACTGTCTAATTTTGATGTCTATACCTGTTCTTTGATTTTTTCCCATATGACTCTTGTCATCTCATCTCCATCCAATTCCACCACTGGTTTGTCCACTGTGATTCTTTTGTCTGTTCCATCTAAAATAACAAAGGAATTCACAATTTAGGTTCTACAGCTGACAATTATAAAAGAAATGTAATCAACTATGGAAAAGCAACTGTCCTTTTTAATGGCAGTACATGAAAAATGACAGCTTAAAATTTGTCAAAAGCCATTGCTTGGTCACTTTATGTACACATTTCTGGCTTTGTTTACTAGGTGGCAACTTGGATCAGGATCGTTCAGTTAGCACAGTGCTATGGCAATGCCGTTATATTCACATTTATTGTTTTGTGCCTGATATTGAAACTTGCTTGGTCTTAGCACTGTTTTAACCTCAATCACTGTCATTTACTATTTCTAGGATGCATGGGTGCATTCATGAACATATTGAGCATAACAGTGGATAAGACACATTTCCTGCTAAATTTCATTAAAATTACATATGTTTATGTCATTATAAGCATGAATAAATAATTAAAAATAAATACAAAACATAAACATAAGCTGCATGTTTCAACTGGTACCAGCCAGTCATCATCATGATTATACAAAGGTATGGAGTTATTTATTAATAAGCATTTTTTAAAATCTTTTTAGACAATAAAAATTACAATGAAGTCAAATATTTTGTCATTCAAATTTCAAGACATTAAAGTTAGGGACATACTTTAAGAATGAAAGATACTCTATTATAAAACACATTTAGACATTCCTTTCATACATTCAACCTTGAATACCTGTACAAAACATGTACTTCTAAGTACACAAAATTGGATTTAAATAGTGGTATAACAGAACAAGTACTTGAATTATAAAGTGTAATCTTTGATTAGATTATTCTCAATATAGCTTGATGCCAGATATAAAGAATTTGAGTTAAGAAAGGTCACAGATTTGGAATAGATTCAAATATTTAAAATTGGTAGATAATCTTCTTATAGGAGAGCAGTGTGAATGTGAAATAAAAAAGATGGAAATATTAGGTGTAACATGTTTAAATCTAGACTTTTTTTCCCATAAAATCTATTCTTAGAGGTGTCATCATTTTATTACTTATTAGAGGGTTACTATTGCAGAAAAAAAACTGAATCAGAGTTTTACTGTCATTAGGCCCAACCTCTCACTCAAGAACTACAGTTCTAGAACAAATTCATGGACTTTAGAACTGCCCGTAAAACATGTTCATAGACCCAGGTTGCTGTTTATAAAACAATATAACATATAAGAAATTTATGTTTTAGTATTTTATAAAAGTTAAGCCATTTAATAAGATTGTTAAAAATAGAATTTTTTTTTGCATCCAAATGTTTTTGAACAAAATGTAAATGACAGAGCTTGAATAAGTAGTAAAATTCCAAGACATATTTTACAGGTTTGTAATATATCATTCTCATCCCCCTCTTTTTATGAACAAAACTAGAAATACTGTCTAGAATGTTTTGCTTTTCCACCAAAACCTTGTATGAAGATCTAATGATAGTGTAACACATTGCAAGTTAGTGTTTACTATTATGCAAATAAGCTACAAAAATTGATAGCACAATGAAGCCCCAATCTTATTTTTTTTGTTCTGTTTGACAGGTTCATCATAAATGATTGAAACAAAAAGGACTGTTAGAGTGATTCATCTCAAGCATATTTAATATAAAATACCTATGAGGTGCTAAATATTATATATTACAATATTAGTAGACTTTACTCCACTCAATTATGGACACTGCTAGTAAGCCATGCATTAAATTTCACTTATTCTAATAAACATACAAGTTATTACTGCTCTACATCAATAACACCTTTATGTTAGATTGTACCCTTCTATACTCATACAGTCAGTTGTATTTATATTATGCTTTATTTCAGTGAAGGATAGAACACAGAGTTGGATCTCTACCAAACATGCCTTATCTTACCAGTACACATAGGAGTATCAAGAATATAAACACAACTTGAATATGTATATATAGATCTAGACTATACCCTGTACTTCGAGTTTTATCTTTACTTACAAGTTAGTCCGAACAACATAACAGATATTTGTAACTTATACCATACCATATATAATGAAATAAACATTGTAAAACTTAAATTTGGTTGAGTCAGATGAAAACCTAGAAATATACTGGAAGATTTTTATTAAATATATACTCACATCATCCTAGAAAAAAAAATCACTGTAAAATTACGGCACAAAAATCTTGAATACAATCTATCCTCCCATTGATGTTCTCAAATTACAAATTTTTTATGCATTAAAGACTAAAGACCTTTTTACAAGTAGTGTTCCAAGATATATATATATATATATAAAATATCATTACAGCTACAGCTAATTAATGGATAGACAGAAATAATACTTGAGGTGTGCAAAAAACAAGCATCACCGAGTGTATTATTATTTACGGGAGGGAACAATAACATGAAATAATTAATGTAACAGAGACGTATAGTAGAATAAGATGCTAATTTGTTAACAGTGTTTGTGCTGAACTCCTTCAGAAATTCAAGTGTCCTAATTTCTGTACTTACTGGTGTCAGCAAGTTCTAGATTAACTTTAGAATATTACACAAAGGATGTGACTAAATTAGATGCACACCAATTTTTAAAATCTAAAACATTTTCTATGATCTAATAATAATGTTCAAGTTATGTTTAACTCGATACTTTGTTTTATTAGTATACTCTTTTTTACTCATATTAATCTAATTTTCATTAATCTCTGAACTTGGTAATTCCAATAGTTCAAAATACATGCAAATACAATGCAAAAAATGGCTTCATCTGACTAGATACATAGAGCTAATCATATGCCCCACAGTATGGAATGTGATTCTTTTTTTAAGGAGGAAATAGGATGGGAGCTAAGGAACCTTAGATTCACAGTCCAACACACTAACTACTAGCTCATGCTTTGACAAAAATTTTCCAGTTAATCCTAGCTTTTCCAATAACAATATATATATATATATATATATACACACACACACACACACATACATACATACATAAGAAG